ATTTGACCCAAATTGGCAATTTACCAAAACACCCTTGTCTAATCTTTTTAATCCAACGGTCCAGATTCGATCCAATCTTGAAATCAACGGCCCAGATTGAATCTTACTAAAAATATCCAAGGGTATACTGGTAATTTCTCAAAAAGTTCAAGGGCAAAATTGTCCAATCAAAAAGTTAGGGCAAAATTACCGAAATGCCCTTTGCCCATAAAACATGCCCTTTGTTAATCCTTAGGGGTAAAATGGTCAGTTTCTTCGTTTCTCACCGAAATTGAACTTTTCTGAAAAATCCGAAGAAATCCAGAGATGCACGTTCCAATTACAACGTCGTCCAAAGGTCCTGCCGTGACTTTCCGAATTTTCTGATGCTCGGTTTGGTCTCTAATAAAAATTTAAATTATATATACATAACGTAACTCGAGCGTTTCTCAGACTAACGGGTGGCTTTTGGGAAATTCGTCTATACGACCCGTGACTGATACTAAATCGAGTCACGTACAATTTATTCAGACCGTACTGACTTCGGTTGCCAATAAAATCGCGAGGATCGATCACTAGGTCCGATGAGTACGATCGTTCAGAATAAGTTCAGGATCGTTCGTCAATTCATTTCGTGGTCCGGCGGAATCACCCGCGATCCATTACTATGACAGTGGCGAACTGACCCTTCGTTATCCTTGGATCGGCCTACAATGGCCCAAAATGTCACCTCGGCGATTTTATGATCGAAAGTCAATTTACGATCGAATGTTTACTTAGTCGCACGAATTTTAAAATTCCCAGTTAGCCTTTCCCTAACGGTTAGTATCCCAGGAATGATTAGTTCCGGGTGAGAATTAACTACGAGTACATTCGTAAAATAATTCATTTCATAAATCCCAAATGAGCGAAATGTCGGGATGTCAAAGACCGAGACGCACAGCCGGACAACATAGGCCAAGAACTGAAGTCTCTCCAGGAACTTCTACTTTCGGCGATCGACTCTGACTCCATTGTTACACAAATAATTCCTTAAAATTGTTGGAAAAATATTCTCCTTCGAATTGTAGAAGAAAAGAAACTTCAACTTCAAACGGGATGAACAACGAAGTCAGACTTTGAGGCGTGATATCACTTTCTTTAAGGAATTATTTGCCCCACGAAGTTGCTAATAGTCACCGGCAAATTTCCTCCAGGATACAACAGAGTCTCGATTGAGAATACCGAATAGCAATTTCGGTATATCTCCAGGATCTCTCTAGGAAAACAATTAGAAAAGATGGATGTATATCTCTTGGAAGAAATGGAAAAATTGGTTGTTCTTTTTAATGAACAAAAATGTTGAAATATTTATACGTTGAACAAATACAACCTTTCGAATGTAAAGAAGTTATGTCCGAACAGACACAACCTTCCAAAGGTTGTAAGAGAGCCTAATTATCATTAGGCAGAAAATAAAAAATTCGAAATTAAATTATCAAAAAATAACCGCCACTCTATTGCGAACAGTTACACTGTTTCAATAGGACAAAACAGTCATTTTATGATAATAAATTCGAAATTTAATAAATAAATAAAAATGATTGTTGATTAGTGCCAAATCTCGTCCACGTGTGCACTCACATCCTTTCGATGTGGAACAAGGCACCTTGTTGTTTGTTTTACAAACAAATTACCAACAGATCTTAATATATATGCAGAGCGTGGAGTGTTTGAGTGCGATAGTTGATGTGCGTCCAGTCCTTCATCCAATTGGAGCTCCTCTTCCGCATGTGTTTGAAGCCGTGGGAATCTTGCGGTAAGATTTTGTGTAATTTTTTTGGTGAAATTGAGAGATTATTTCCTAAGGTCACACCGACCGATAAATTTGATATCCGATCTATATTCTGATTATTTTTACTTTATCTTATTGTTTCATCGCTTGTTTCCGCAACAGTATTGGTTGTGATTGTTTACTTTCCCTTAGATTGTGCATTCACGCATGAACATTATTTAGTCGAGTAAAGGACTGCCCCTTTCTCTTGCATCCGTGTCTAATCAGAACTTTGAGCAGGTTCAAGGCCTATTTACCTTAATTCGGCTTTTGTCATCTTTAATTTACATTCACATTGATAGAGCATGAAGCCTCAAGACGTGCTCGAGGATGCAAGGGAATGGATGAAGTAAGCATCGGCATCCTCGCGACTATCATCCTAACGGTAGCTTTCACTTAAGTACTTGGAGGCAACAACAACAGTACAGGGAGGCCCCGATCTTTCTGAAGGAGACCTTATTCATCGTATTCAGTCTCAATCTTTCTGGAGGAGACCTTATTCATCGTATTCGGTCGCGCTCTCTTCTTCTCGGCTCCGCCACTTTGATGTTCTTGGGCATCCTCACTTCACGGTATGCCGCAGACTCCTCACCACCGACAAAATTAACATTGGGCCTCACTTTTCTATTCATATCTGTGGTTTGTGTGCTGGTTGCGTTCGGCTCTGCTTTTACACTAGTCTTGAGCGAACCATTCGAGTGGATTGACATCCCAATTGCTTCCAATTGCTTCGACGGGTGGATTGCCTCTCTCATTGTTCTACCCTAATATGTTGGAATGGTCGAATCCACTTATCTTGTGATGTGCTTTTTATTTGCACTTGTTACCGTGCATGAATCGTGACTATTATGGTTTTTTTTCTCGTGTTTTATGACTTTCGAAGTACGATATTAACCATATTTAGTGCCATCGAGTGCACAATTTATCCACGTCTTGGTGTTTAATCGTGTTTTGTGACTATCATGGCGTTTACTCGAGTACGCCAAGGCAGTCCTGGCGGTAGTATTCATACACGTCTTGGTCACCTAAATGCAGGTGAACTTGCATCGCTCTTTTCTTCTGCGATGACGTCTCCGTCTCGGTTTTGGCGGAAACAACATATCTCGTTCTCGTTCACTTGCTCTCAATTCTTCATAGTTGGATCGAAGAAATCAGACGTGGTTTACGATCCGATTTCAGGATTTGGAGAGGGCATGCAAGTTTTGTTGAATAAAAGAGGCTCAGCAAGTTCTTTTGAATGAGAAATTGTGTAAGCCATTTTTATTTTTTTTCTGAAAAGGAGGAGGCCTTTGCCCAAGCCAATTGAACCTACGTATACACTGGAAGATAAGAAAACTGCTATCGGCCAAACTGTCCCTGAGTCAATAACGAGTAGCAAAGGATACACAACGCTTGTTCACTGACATTTCTTTCCTAGAAAGTAAGAAAAATCTGGGGAAAGACAAAGAGAAAACGAAAGAAGAGGGGAAATTTGCACAACCGGGGAATGGTACGAGCATAAGCAATGAGTCTCCAATTCTCATAGCCAAGGCGGCGGGGGTGTAACAATTGGAGTGGGATCAAAAGCCGGCACGGGCACCGGAATCGGCCTTCGCGCCCAAAATTGGAAAGCTCAATTTTAAAATCGTTCGATTCAGTCTTTGTTATATGAAATGGTGCCATCGTGATGCCACAAACGCTACCCTTTTAGCAAATGCATTTATCCTATATGAACCCCATGTAGTAGGATCACGGCTCTCGTGGATGACGAGGCTGCTTGCGCAATCGTGTCCTGATTTGGCTACGTAATGCACACCTCGGTTGCATTATTTTTCGAAGGTGTCGAAGAAGGAGCGGCCGATAAACTCTTCCGGTAGTCTTCTACGATCAATACTGGCGATCGATGTTAATGAACATCGTATAAATTTTTGGGCGAACTTGTTATGGTGGTGATTGCTCTTAGGGGTGAGCATCGGTTCAAGGTCGACCCTAGACCGACCCTGGATCGGCCCAACCCGGCCGGTCTTGGTCCAATTCCCAGGGGACTGGGTTGGTCCTTAGTCCTGGAACCCCTGGATCCTGCACTGTGCGGGTTGACTTTCAGTCCTGGGACTTTAGGGTTAGTCCAACCTGGACCAACCCTGTATATATTATATATAATATATTATATGATATTATATATTTTGTTTACTTTAAACCCTACCCTAGCAATTGTGCCTCTATTCTTTCCGTTTTTATGCGGTTCTGCCGTGTAGAATTGTAAATTTTTTTTGGTCAAAAGAATTGTAAATTAGAAAGTAGAAACCCACTTTTTTTTAGTAAAAAAAAAATCCACTTAATCGGTTAACCCAGCTTTGATTTGACCAAAAAAAATAGAAACCCTCCTCTTCCTCGCCTATCGCCTTGCTTTGTTTGCTCGCCGCTCGCTTGTGAAACCCTATTCCTCACCTCGCGCCACTCGCCTCTGTCCGCTCACCTCGCTCTCAGCTCTATTCGCTCACCTTGCTCGCTGCTTGCCTCTTCGCTCGCCTCAGCCTCCCTTTCAAGTGTTCATTTTTTTATGGTTTGTTGCTTTTAGTAAATGGAGATTTATGTTGTTATCTTATCTTAGATTTATGTTTGATACGTATTGGTGTTCATAGTTTGGTTGCTCAGTATCGCATTATTGATAATTATGAAATTTGAAAGAGTACATACTTTCGAGAAATACAAAAAAAAAACAAAAAAAGAATTAGTTGGTCTCGATTAGACCCTAGAACCGGATCAGACCCATAGGGTCGGTCCGGTCCTCGGTTCCAAGCTCAACAGGGTCGGTCCTTGGTACCAAAAATTGAGGACCAACACTATGTGGGTTGGTCCCAAGATTAAGTGCAGGACCGGCCCAACTCGGACCATGCTCACCCCTAATTGATCTCGCATCTAGTCCTATTTGGAGATCGTAGATTCCAAGAGAATATAGACTAGAGCTAAGCCACTCAGCCCCAAAACTAGTTGTGGTGTCTATCTGTGTACGGAAGCCTCAGAAAACCATCGATATTGCGACAATAAATTCCAGTGTCGATTTTGTCAAAAGAACCATCGAGATCTGGTGGAGATTGTTTGTTTCGTCCTAAAATCAAGTGCGTGTATATATGTATGTACGTATGTGTGGATTGTTATATCTAATCTATAGTTATTAGTATACTTTTTTCGCACACCAAAAGAAAAAGAGAACCGGCAATGCCAATTCGATTAGAGAAACGGATAATATATGCAATCTCATGAACAAAATTCATCAACTATAAAAGAAGAAGTAATCATGATGTGCCAAAACCAAAATCGGGGCTTATTCACGCATGTCGCAACCATACTAAAGGTAGGAGACCTTGTCCGCATTCCACAATTTGGCCGGGGAAAGCAAACTCACGGTGATGCTGCCTACAAGTCTGTCCATCGACGCGCCGCCTCTCTGCACATACTCCAGCTCGTCAGTCGCCGGATCATAGCTCAAGACGCTCTTCAAGAACTTGAGCACCATCTTCCGGCCACCACAGCCCATAAAAAAACCGAACCGGTGACTATTCACCCCCCACGGCAACCTCAGCGGGATCCTGTACTTCTTCACCCACACCCGACTCTCCTCCATCACCCACACATCGTGGCTCTCCTGATGCGAGTAGTCGACGAGCCCCAGAACTCCCCGGAGGTCCACCAGGTTGGCCTCGCAAAACTCTGGGCTCGGAGTCCGCGCGAACTCCTCCTTTGCCAGGTCGAATGACCAGATCCTGTGAACATGGTCGCCTGCGCCGGCGACGATCAAGTGGATTGATCCGGCCGTGAACACCGGTTTTCCGAGGAGGAGGCAGGGAGGGACGCTCGCTATGTCCCTCCATGACCTCGAGCCCTGATCGAGGACCTCTGCCCTCATCGAGCAAATTTGGCGGTCTTTACCGATAAACGAGCTCATGCGCAGGATCTTGTACCGGCTGGTCAAGTGGTCCACCCCGATGGCTATCCGGCGCTGGTGCCACCGCTTGCACGGCCCGACGCTCGACAGCGACACGATGTCTCGGGTCAGAGGGTTGAGCAGATAGGTCCCGCCGTGGAGGAGGTCGTCAAAGCAGAGCAACCCGTGACATGAAGCTCCAACTCCGTGGGACCACGCCGTCACGGCCGATTTGGGGAGCGAAGTCACCAGGAGCTCGTCGCTCACCGCCGTGAATCTGGGATCCGCACCGCGACTCGGCTTTGAGAGCAGCAGAATCCGGGGATTCTCGACACCGCTCTTGACGTGCATGGCGGCAAAGTGCGGATCATCGATGATGTCGCGCCACTCTCTGCAGACGGTCCTCAGCTTGATGAGCAGTGTCGTGGGTAGGCGAGAGAGAACGTTGTGGAGGAGGTCGAGAGGGAGTGAGCTCGTCCTCAGTCTTTTACACCGCCAAGGAGATGAACGAGGAGAACGGTAGCTCGACATTGGTGAGAATTCGAAGCACCTCGATGTAGAAATTGACTCGGAGATGTCAGATCTTCTCAGCGGAAGGAATACAACTACGAGTTTCCATTTTCCTTCTTCTTGTTTTAGACAAAATCAGTACCTGACTCCAAAAAAAAAGATTTCTTTCCATTTTCGTATAATCTCTGAAATAATGTGACACGTAAAAAGAATTTCTTTCCATATTCTTATTAGACGGGAATCAAAATATATATCTAGCTTACATATTTCGATTTTTGAGTAATTTATTTATTGTTTCGATTTGTTGAGTATTAAATTAATTGACTGCGCACTAACCCATAATCAACTAGTTGTTTAAAATTAAAATTTACCAAAACTACTTGTAAAAATATTTTTGAATCCTCGTATTAATGAAGCCTATCCATGAAATCTCTGGCCTCCTTTCCACGAAATCTTTATGTATTCACGAAATCTTTGCATGTTTAGACAATTAAATTACATCCCCAAAGTTGCGGTTGGTGTGAGTTTGGGAGTGTGCGCACTAAGTATTTCCCTTGGTGTTAATATCATATCCATTTGCGATGAGAATCGCCGGAAATTATCAGAGTTACCATCCAAAATGAGTTTCAAGATCTAAATATCCAAAGAAAAAAACACACACATGGAACTGGTTACAACGAACTGTGATATCTGAAACTGCTCTTTTCTTCGCCGTTTTGGAAACATTTACAGTGATTTAAGCACTTGAGAAAACCCTAGGAATGCAAGAAATTTCATCGTCCGATATCGGATGTGCCGGTGGGATCAAGCTGTTTACACCACCCTAGGCTAGGTGTAATACAAGATCCGGTCCTTCGCACCCGTCCGGCGAATCTTCATGTTCGCGCAGAAATACTTCAGCTGCCTTCAGTGTCAGGCAACCCGAGCGTCTGCCCTAGGAGCAAGAAGAGCCGATTCATCTTCATCATCTTCTTCTTCTTCTTGTTCTTCTTCTTCTTCTTCTTCTTCTTGACTGAGATCACGGGCTTCGCGTGGTTGTCTTGGTCGCAGAACCTGCACTTGGGTTGGGGAGGACCGGGCTCATCCACTCCTGCAGAGCCCGATCGAGAATCGATGCCTTGTTCTGCGCGATGAAGTTACCGACCTCAAGGAACTCGCCTCGCAGGTCGTACTCAATCTCGAAGACCACCTTGCGTTTCTTACACTGGACCTCCCCAGTCCCCACTGATGGTGAAGATCCCGTTTGGTAAGAGGTGGTTCGTACTGTGCACGGTGGCTCGTCGGTTTGTGGTCTCGCTCTTGCCGTCTCTCACTGGCTGAGGAAGCTTTCGGCGGCCACCGTGGGACAGCAGGTGTGTGTGTGGGAGGTCTTCTTGGTGGATATTTGACAGCACAGCCGCCGAGGACAGCTCGTGAAGCATCGCCGGAGGATTGTACGTCGCCATAGACGACCTGCGAACTAACGCCGGAGATTCATAGACGACTCATGACAGCACAGCCGCCAAGGTCTGGAATTGAAGATTGACGAATCAAATCCCTAATATTTCTCGCAATGAAATAGTGATACTTTGACCAAAAAAAAAATGGTGATACAAAAAATAATTATTAGGGATAGGTATTATATAAATTAAATGGGGCCAAGCAGGAATTTTTCATTATCCTTATGGAAAAAAGAATTATTGTCCAATATTTGAGAATTTTCTATTGAGATTTATTTTCCAATTATCCGTCGAAGGAAATCTAATTAAGAGAGAGAGAGAGAGAGAGAGAGAGAGAGAGAGAGAGAGAGAGAGAGAGAGAGAGAGAGTGTGTGTGTGTGTTTGCGTGTAAGAGAGGGACAACTCAGAGAAGCGCACAAAATCCACCAATACAAAATATAAAAGCCAAAGTTCCGACCAAATATAATATATATATATTTCCAAGGAAGAAAAATACCCACAAAACAGCAATGCTCCAAAAAAAATTTCTTAACAAAAATCTCAAACTTATACCGGTGTAAAAAATATACCCTTCATCAAGATTCTGTGCATGGCGGTTTACATGGACAACGATAGACAAATAAAGTGGGAAAAGTCTTAAATTTATTGCATTGATTCCAATTTAGTCATAAACCTTTTGACCTAGTGCCAATTTAATCTTTCTAGCTAATTTTGTCGGATATTGCAGACGTTAACAATTTTTTATAATATTTTACTATTTTTTTATTTTTTTCCTTTCTTCTTCCTTTCACTGGTGACCGGCCATGGCCAAGCGGGCTAACCTCGCTTGGGTGAGGGTCGCCTCACCCGTCACAAGTGAGGTCCGGCCAGGCAAAGGCAAGCCCTGGCGAGAGGAGCCCTCGTTGGGGCTCGCCTAGGCAGATCTGGTGAGGCTACTCTAGCCCGTGCAAGGGCCGGCCTCGCCATATTTGGTGAACGGAGCCCTCGTTAGGTGAGGGCAACGCCTGACCATGGCCGGTGGTTAGCCATCGCGTGTGACGGTGGCTCATCACCGGCAAAAAGAAGAAGAAAGGAAAAAAGAAAAGAAAGAAAAAAAAATTAAAAGATATTAATTATTAAAAATTATTCACGTCGGCATCGGCAGTGCCACATAGATCGGCCGGTATTCAAGTCAACAATATCCGGCTAAAATTAAGCCGAAGGATTAGCACTAGATCAAAAGATTTATGACTAAATTGGTACAATTAAAAAGTTTATGACTAAATTAGCACCAATGCAACAGATTTAGGATTTTTCTTACACTTTTCCCTCAAATAAAGCTAATGTGAATCCAACGTGGCTTCAACGAAACTAAAACGATGTCGGTTTTTAAGGGAAACAATTTGACAAGACGACGAAATGAAAAGGACGCCGTTTTGATGGTCTTTTAAAGCACGAATGTCTTCATTTCATTTTTGGTCAGATCGCTAAAGGTCGATTTGGGGCAAAATGCATTGTTTCAGCAACTGAGAGAGAGAGAGAGAGAGAGAGAGAGAGAGAGAGAGAGAGAGAGAGAGAGAGAGAGAGAGAGAGAGAGACACCGTACGTGGTTTAAAATATAACAGAACGGCGTCGTTTCCGTTTCATGACCATGTCAAATTATTTCCCTAAAAAAAAAAGACATCGCGTCGGTTTCACAAAAGGCGGCCGTAGAATATTTTCAACTTTTTGTTGATTATTTAGAGGTTTTACTTTCTTGTCATTTGATTGCTTTGCATTGTGTTTTCACAACTTGAAAAGGGGGAAAAATGCTTCAACCTAAATCCCTCTGGCATCCGGTCCAGCCAAACACAGTTTCCCCACCACAAAGATCTGTTTAAGTTGCATACTATAGATAGTCTTATCTTCTTAGGTGTATCCGATAGGCTTCTACAAGATGGGCCATGAAATGGTCACAAGAATCAGAATGGCCATTGTGGGCAAACCTTTTGATTCCTGAATTTTCAATACTATTTGTATTTGATACCCCTCACATTTTTTTTTTACTGAAATGACATGGTTTACAGAATATCCTTCATTTGTAATGTCAAATTTACAACTATCATGATCTAGCTTTTCCATTTTTTTCTTTTTCCTATTTTCTTGGGATGAAATCATTAATTTCTTGTTGGCCCCTTTCCACCAAATGCACCTCCCTCCTATATTTCTGCGACCCCGTTTCTCTCTCACTGATCCAATCTCCACCCTTGGTTTCCTGTTCTCCCATTTTAGCAAACTTGTGACGAGGTGACAGAGCAGGAGAGGTTGGCAAGATTGAGGAAACAGCAGGGCAACGATGTAACTCACTTTAAAAAACAAGTACTTCATGATCTACCTGAGGGTGGTGTTGAGGCATTGGAAGACATGGCATTCGCAGGAACAACCCAGAAGTGCAAAGCCTGCGAAAAGACTGTGTATTTGGTCGACAAGTTGACCGCCAATAACCGGGTTTACCACAAGGCCTGCTTCCGATGCCACCATTGCAATGGCACCCTCAAGGTAATTCATGTCACGTCGACGCGGTTTCTCCATGTGCATTGCATCTTTTAATCCCATGAATGGACAAAATTTTGCAAGGTATTGCTTTTCTTCTTCATTTTGAGGCTGCATGGGAGGTATGATTCTTCTAACATGGTAATTTTCTAATTTTCAGCTAGGCAACTTCAATTCTTTTGAAGGGGTCCTCTATTGCAGGCCCCACTTCGATCAGCTCTTCAAGAGAACGGGGAGTCTGGATAAGAGTTTTGAAGGTAAATACCAATAGCAATTCCACCTAAAAGTACAGTCGTATACCTGCTGTTGCTGCAGCAATACCAAGTTATTTTCTTATCGTCAATCTGGTCTTGTTGCTCTGGGCTACATATCAGGAACTCCGAAGATTGTAAAACCAGAAGGAGCTACTGATAATGAGGTGATGTACCGGCGAAAATCTCTCTCAATACGCAACATGGTTTAAGCTCTAGTATAAAAAATTTCTGCGTCTATTTACCTGGTGTGTTGAATGAAACAACAGAATGCTGCCACAGCGAACAGAGTCTCCGCCTTGTTTGCAGGGACCAAAGACAAATGTGCGGGCTGTGATAAGACTGCATATCCGATTGAGAAGGTGAAACATCCCATGAACATTTTGTCCATGAATTGGCCACTCTTTCTTGTGTAAGGCCCTAGTACTCCAAGAGAAAATACTGGAGTTGGGGCCTTTTTAAGAACCTTTTTGCCTTAATACGAGAATATTAAACACAAATCACTAACACAGAGGTCTCTGAATCGTCTCTAAGGTTACTGTGAATGGGACTGCATATCACAGAAGATGTTTCAAGTGCACCCATGGGGGCTGTACCATTAGTCCCTCAAATTACATTGCCCATGAGGGAAAACTTTACTGCAAGCACCATCACACCCAGCTGTTCAAGGAGAAAGGAAACTACAGCCAGCTCGATACTGGCAATAAACAGTATGAAGCCGCTAAAGTTACAGCTGTGGAGGTTCTCGCTGAGTAGTAGCACATTGAAAATCATGTCAATTCAGTTCCTTTTATCTTTTTCCTGGTAATTTCTTGGGCTGCCTGTGGTTGAACCGATCCGAAGAATTCTTGTACGAAAAAATTC